AAAAACACATTATTTTCCACATACTGTACATTATTGTTTCTCCTCTATGCCCCGCCTTTCTGAAACATGTCGATTTCTACAAAGCTCATCGGTCTGAAAAGCAAGGTGTGCTGTGATTGGCCAGCTACATCCCATTATACACGAGGCATTTGTTGCATCCAGTGGGGACATAATTACTGATTATAATGACTTATACTGTCTTTTTACGCGTTGCGTTGCATTGCATCATGCCGCGTAAACATAAAACCCTGTCTGCATTTGTGATCAGAGAAATGACAAACAAGTGCTACTCTACTGCCCAAAACTCGCGTTTGAATCGTCAGTGGCAGAAAGCCAATCCAGCGATCCACAGCACTAAGTTGATGTATTTCCTCAGCGACCAGCACGGATCAGCTCTAGGCATGACGAAGCGGATATCGTCTTCTTTTGGAAGGCCAAACAAAGTAGTTTCGCTTTCACAACGAAACACACAGCAACTTCAGAACATGGCGGCAGCGGCAACAATACTACAGCGAGAATAAAAGTTACGCCTTCTTTCTTTGCGTGAACATTTAGGCGGCGTTATGCAAATTTTCCCACATAGTGAGGTAGATATGTGGGGGCGTGTTCGAACGGGCCGTTTTAGCTAGGTGTGGCTGACTCTGAACTTTTATAAAGAATATCTCTTTGGATTTGACACTTTAGTCTTTGCAAATTTACAGATCTTCTTTATGCACCAAGAGCTTGTAACACTCCAAAGAGAAAGGAAAAAATGAAATCGCATCATATGACCCCTTTAACTTCAAACCGTCTGATGGCACTCATTCACTACAGAGGATCAATTGGTGAGCAAGTGAATTAATGATACATTTTTCCTAATCTGTTCAGATAAAAAAACAATCGTATCTTCATCTTGGGTGGCCTGAGGGTGAGTAAATATTCAGCAACATTTTTGGATGAACTATTCCTTTAATTCAGACTAGCTTCAAAAAGCTTATGTGCCATTATACGCTTAAGTGGCTTCCGCATATGCATACTAATACAAAGCTGGTTCCTTGGGTTTAAGCAATGAAGTTTCAGCCAGTATGGATTTGGTTAAGTAACCCCTTGATATTGTCTCTGTACAGTGCAGACCAACTGTGTGGACACAACCATAACCAACCTGCTGGAGAATACTGACCAGTTCACCTCGGAGGCGGCTGTGGGCACACCTTCAGGTCCAGCTAAACAAGCAGCTTCTTCCACTCCGTCTGTAACAGAATCCACACCCAATTTGAAGGTACAGCTGACCCTGTACCCTGTAAAAAAGCAAAGCAAATGCAGGAGCAAGACAGACTTTAGTCAAAGTGTCTTGTCCCTTATTAACGAAAACCATTTATTACACAAGATTTGCACTATTCTTCATTGCCCCACAAAGAAACGAGCTCTGTGTTTTGGATTTGACCTTATGTATGAATAGCTCAATGGCCTCCTTCTCGCATGGCCTATATTAGTGAATTTACCTATAAATAGTAGTCAAAGCCTTTTGTCTGACAGGATATTTGAATAAATATGTCTGTGTATTCATCAACAGCCAGCTGCCAAACCTTTTGGGAGAACACCAATAGACAGACACATGTCTCTACAGGAAAGAAAAGAAGCTTTCTACGAATATGCAAGAAGGTAATTGTTTTAAAATCCTTAAAATAATACTTAAAATGTGTTGCATTTTAGACAAACCTGAAATGTTTAGCACACAATGGCATTGAGCTTGAAAATCTTTGTGCCTGAAATCCGTTGTATGCCAGTATCCACTAGGTTTTTTGTATAATAAAGGTATGTTGCACTCCATTTTTATTTATTGAATTGAGTAATCTGATTCTTTATTTTCTATTCACCCCACCCGCAGACGATACATTGAAAAACATGGACTGAACAAACAGGACGATCTATGACCGTGGACAAAGACACACCTGAGGAATTGTTTAGGAAAGACAGCTGCTTAACACAAAATCCACACAGACAAAGAAAAAATTATAGAGTTGACCCAGAATGAAACAACATTTGAGTTCACCAAACATGCCGAGAGAAGACTGGATTTTTTCCTTTCTTGTTTTTGTTTCTTTGTAAATTCTTCTTGCATGGCAATCATGCATGTCTTTTTATTTCTCTCTGCAACAGAAAACAATTATTTTGGTAAATTTGTATTAAGACCCAGTGACCTTGGCACACTTCATATTATTTTTATATGGTCCTTGGGTAGAGGATAGGGGATCAGAAACATAGGACAGTGAGCTAAAACACAATTTGAGGTTCATTATGTTGTCAAGGATACATGTTGATGCAATATCAGCTTTTAAAGACATTAAAAATCATATAGAAATGCAAAGACTACTCTCCTTGTGTCTATTAATACATCTTATTGATGCTTTTTTTCAATGAAAATGTGGTTGTGAGAGATGGATGTATAAAGACTGGGCATATAGCTTGTATAATCTTTAAAGCACTTTTTGGAAACATTTCTTTTCAGGACACTCATACACAACACTAAATGACTGTACTGTCTATGGTTATCTTTGTTTACACATTTCCACAAGCTTCATAGATAAGCTTTAAACCTATTAGCGATTTTTATTTCTTTATTGCTGCCATATGGAAGAACTATCTTTACCTTGTCAACGTGGTAAATGAGGAGCAAATAGTAAGGTTAAACTGTCAAAATGGCATCAGCCCTGATTTCATCTTTACAAGCAACTACATTTTGGAAAATATCCCTGCAGCCCCTCCTGTTTCTCAAAAACGTTTGATTTTTTTAGATAAGCGTTTTGAATGACGAGAGCCGTTATAGCCGCGCTGCCTTCCAGCCAATAGCTATAAAGCCTTTCTAGTGATGTCAGCGCCTGTACGAACCAATCATAACAATGAGCACACACGAGAGCCAATGAGAATGCTGGAGAGGGCGTACAGCAACCAATGAGAATGAAGGAAATGTAGGTGATTTTTCCAGACTGAATAAGTAGGAGCACGTCTGACGTCTCGACTTCATTGTCGAGGGTTCTGAGTTAGAGGGGGTTTGTTTCAAGTACATTGTGTTGTTAAGCAAACAAATAATCAACAATGAGGGAGATTGTGCATTTACAGGCTGGACAGTGCGGCAACCAAATTGGTGCTAAGGTAAGAACTGCACAAATATATGTTTTTAATCGTACTCCATGAAATACCGATTGGGCTTTTGGGGGTTAAAAATAACTAATCCGCGGCGTTTGGAACAGCAATTTGTTCTAGTTTAAGCGGTTTTTCTTAAATCCATGCTGTACACTGCTGATTTCGATTGTGGTTATTTTTAAATTTCACCATTTAAAAACTACTCTGGTCTAAATATGGTCCTGGATTAATCTCCCAGGCAACACGTTTTTAAATAAGGTATTCTTTTGAGTTCTCGGCTAAACATTGACTAAAACTACAGCTTTGTTGTTGTTGTTTTTTTTAAAGGACGAATATTTCACGAAAAATCAGAGCGATTTGAATGCAGTAATGGTGAAACAATGCGTTAGTTTTAGGGTGTTGGCTGCGCCGGACCGGCGAAATATTCGAATCGGTTCTTTTTGATGATTTGGTAGAGCCGAGTTGCTCGAGTTTTCGCTCCTCCACAGATGTCACCCGGCTGTAGGGAGTGGTGACGCAAGTGAATCGCGAACCGTTCAAACGAGTCGATTCGCTTGGAAGATTCGCGTGTCGTAATGTGGCCGGTTGTATCTGGTTCAGCTCATGGAAAAGTGCTGGAACGCTAATATCATGACGCAAATACCGTTCTGGTCCCATGCTGAGAAATGATTTGAATGACTCCGTACCATTGAGCAAAAACCGAAGCTAATATTCGTGACATAGGTGGTACTATGTCTGCGCTGCTTTAAGCTCCTGGGTGATGTAAAATGGCCCCGGTGACTTGGCGAACTCCATTTTACAAATCTGGAGCGCGAGTAACGGGAAACGCTGGCCATTCAATATTGGACTAGCCTTTTTTTTTTATATATATATTTATAAATCGCTTCTATTGACCTTTTTTGAACGTAGTGCCATTTTATTATTTTGTCGAAGGTCCAAAAACGTTTTAAATCTAAACTCTTGTTCCTACTTCTGAATCCTCTTGTTCCAGTTCTGGGAAGTCATTAGTGACGAGCATGGAATTGACCCAACAGGCAGTTACCATGGCGACAGTGACCTTCAGCTGGACAGAATTAATGTTTATTATAATGAAGCCTCAGGTGAGCAGAAATCCGATGCCTTTTGTAAGGTCACTTCACATGACCACTTGCATATGCACATTACAACATTTGGTTTGACGTAACATTCTGCTCTTTGTTTTAAGGTGGAAAGTATGTTCCACGTGCTGTACTGGTGGATTTGGAGCCCGGTACAATGGACTCCGTGAGGTCCGGTCCATTTGGTCAGATCTTCAGACCAGATAACTTTGTTTTCGGTAAGGTTTAATATGCACCCCAAATCGACGTTTGACTGTCAAATGTTTATTGGGATATTTGATTTGGAAAGGATTGATCCCACACTGGCTCGAAACAAAATTTGAATGGCAGATTGTGACCTGATATGGATCTAGTTCCCTTTTGCTTAGATTTTTTATTTATTTTTTGGTAGGCCAGAGTGGTGCTGGAAACAACTGGGCTAAGGGCCACTACACCGAAGGAGCTGAGCTGGTTGACTCCGTTTTGGATGTGGTTCGGAAAGAGGCGGAGAGCTGTGACTGTCTGCAGGGCTTCCAGCTCACTCACTCCTTGGGTGGAGGCACAGGGTCTGGTATGGGCACCCTCCTCATTAGCAAAATCCGTGAGGAGTATCCTGACCGTATCATGAACACCTTCAGCGTGGTGCCCTCTCCTAAAGTCTCAGACACAGTGGTCGAGCCCTACAACGCCACACTGTCTGTCCATCAGTTGGTGGAAAACACAGATGAAACCTACTGCATTGACAACGAAGCCCTTTACGACATCTGCTTCCGCACTCTCAAACTCACAACACCCACATACGGTGACCTCAACCACCTCGTCTCCGCCACCATGAGTGGAGTCACCACCTGCTTGAGGTTCCCCGGCCAGTTGAACGCAGATCTCCGTAAACTGGCGGTGAACATGGTGCCCTTCCCTCGTCTGCACTTCTTCATGCCCGGCTTCGCTCCTCTGACCAGCAGGGGCAGCCAGCAGTACCGCGCACTGACCGTTCCCGAACTCACCCAGCAGATGTTCGATGCCAAGAACATGATGGCCGCCTGCGACCCTCGTCACGGCCGCTACCTGACCGTTGCTGCCGTCTTCCGTGGCCGCATGTCCATGAAGGAGGTGGATGAGCAGATGCTCAACGTTCAGAACAAGAACAGCAGCTATTTCGTCGAATGGATCCCCAACAACGTCAAGACTGCCGTCTGCGACATTCCACCTCGTGGGCTCAAAATGGCCGCCACCTTCATTGGCAACAGCACGGCCATCCAGGAGCTGTTCAAGAGAATCTCGGAGCAGTTCACGGCCATGTTCAGGCGCAAGGCTTTCCTGCATTGGTACACCGGAGAGGGCATGGACGAGATGGAGTTCACCGAGGCTGAGAGCAACATGAACGACCTGGTGTCCGAGTACCAGCAGTACCAGGACGCCACTGCTGAGGAGGAAGGAGAGTTTGAGGAGGAGGGCGAAGAGGAGCTTGCTTAAATTAACAATTCTGTTACGTTTTTCATGTCTCTTCCTTTTTCAAATCTTTGTCGCATCGTGTGTTTTGTTTGTTTGTTTGTTTTTCCTACTGCATTTCCTGTCACATAAACCCTCCAGTTGTACCTTTTTTCATGTTAATAAAACTAATATAAGAACCTGAATGGTTTACTAGTGTTTTTCTATTCAAAGGAAGCTTGAGTCCAAATAGATGACGAATTTTATAAATCAAAAAGCTGAGCCTGAAGTGGTCAGGACTGCGTTTCACAAAAGCATCGTAAGCTTAAGTAAAACCGGCTTAAGATACTTTTGGGAAATTGCAGCTCGGGTATGAACGATTTTTCTAGTTGTAAATGTTGTAGATTAAAAACAAGGGTGCCCAATCCTGGTCCTGGAGCTCTACCTACCTTATGAGTTCAGTTCCAACCCTGATCAAACACACCTGTCTGTAATTATCAAGTGTTCTTTCAGATCTTAATTAGCTGGTTCAGGTATGTTTGATCAGGGTTGGAGCTGAACTCTGACGGTAGGTAGATCTCCAGGAACAGGATTGGGCACCCCTGATTTAAGATTATGCGACTAGTTAAAGCCTTTTTTTTTATTTTATTTGAGTAACCTATAACTAATTGGTTATAAACATTCAGAAGTGCGTTTATGTGAGCTGGATTCATGTTGTGGTAAATCCTCGGTCTGTTAAATGCATAAGTGTTTGATTCTGAATCGATGACTTGGGAATTGCTCTTCATTTATCTTGAATGCAAAAATAAAGCTTTTCTTGATATAAAAACCAGAACATTCTAAATCTCAGTTCTGTATCATTGTAGAGTTTTCAGTAGAATTTACTAAAGTCATTTGGCTTTCATTTGAATCCAGCTTTGAGAAATGCACAAACCTTTTTGCATTTTATAGTTTTTTTTGTTTAGATCTGAATGTAGGCAGAGAAGATGATTTAAATGACACCAAGATGGTTTCTAAAAGTGCAGATTTGTATATTTTACAAACATGATTATAGGGCATTCCAGAAATATACACAGCACACACAAATCCTGCATGGGCATACACATAAATGCACATACTGTGAAGTACAAGAAGCCTATTCCATCAGCAATCACAGTCTGTAAACATATAAAGCATCTTTTATAATTCCCTGATGCATGTTGAAAATTCATTAAAGGAAACTGGTTTTTCACGTGAACGTCTGCTCTGAGGTGTTCAGCATTTGTTCAAGAGGAAGTGTATAGCCACTGTCTTCCTCTAAACCAACCACTTACATTTGCATGGACAAAAGCCCAGGCCACAATCACAGCTCTGTTCTGTCTCTGAGGCCCTTGGCTACATGATGTTTTCTGATGACCTAATCTAAAAGTAAACTCAGCATGACAACATCTGATTGGACCACAGTAGCAATGGATTCAAAATAGATTAAATAGTAATGTTAAGTGATTAAAGTTTCTCTTTGTCCAGAGCCATGTGGTTATTGCAGTTCCTGGGTTCATTCGCAAAAATGTTAAGAGATCTTGTTGTTGAGCTGCCCGGGATAATGTTCAAACTCTTTCTCAGCCTCCTCGCTGAATGAATCACCTGGAAGCACAAATAATACAAATTAAGCTGAAATTGGCCACCAACAAGAAAACTGAAGGTAAAGAAACTGTTTCATTTGGTGCTCGTCTAAAATATCTGATTAAGCAAGCATGTCATTTCATTCCCATCAAATGTTTAATAGAATCCGGCAGGTCTGAAGGACCCAGCGAACAACAGCCCGTCTCACCAAGATGACATTTATGCAACCAGACACGGTTGCCATCGTATTTGCAGTTGCACCGCATAGCGTTGTTGGTAATGTCACTCTCAGCTACCTCAAAGTTGGGGTTTATTATGACCTGAGAAAGAGGAAAAAGTTAAGACTGATACTGGAAAACCTGGTTGCATAATTGTAATCAAACTTGATCTAGCTAACAGCATAATCAGCCAAGCATGTGGACAAACGTGGTCTTTTTATTAGTAAATCCTAATCTGGGAGGGTCTTTCCCAGTAAAACCTCTGCCCTCCCTCTGTGTACTTGAGGTTTATTACATCATTAATCAAACCAAATGCTATTATTCTTCTAAGCCTTGCATTCCTGGACAGGATGGTGAGCACTGTGACGCATCTCCACCACTAGAGAGCAGAACTGCAACAGCTCTGACAACTGTTTGACTTGCTGAAAAACCCAGACAATGGGGTCCTATGGGACCAAAGTCTGCTCATGTAACAGTCTCTCCCGTTAGTGTGCTATCCAGGGCTGGACTGTGACAAAAAATTGGCCCAGACATTTTTTTGGTCCAGGCGGCCCACCACTTGAATTACTGAAATAAATTAACTTTTCCACGACATTCTAATTTATTGAGATGCACCTGTATGTGACCCTGGACCACAAAACCAGTCTTAAGTCTCTTAACTCTGTATATTTTAAGCAATAGCCAAAAAAAAAAAAAAATTTGTATGGGTCAAATTTATCGATTTTTCTTTTATGCCAAAAATCATTAGGATATTAAGTAAAGATCATGTTCCAAGTAGATATTTTGTATATTTCCTACCGTAAATATATAAAAACTTAATTTTTGATTAGTAATATGCATCGCTAAGAACTTCATTTGGACAACTTTAAAGGCGATTTTCTCAGTATTTTGATTTTTTTGCACCCAGAGTTTCAAATAGTTGTATCTCGGCCAAATATTGCTTTATCAGCTTTGAGATGGTGTATAAATCTAAAAAAATTGACTGATTGGTTTTGTGGCCCAGGGTCACATATATGATATACATCTATCCAAAATACATTTCTACCAAAGTACCAAGGTGGTTACTCTTTCTGTGACAAGGTAGCACCACAAGTGAATACCTGTAGAATGTAGTTTCCTGGTATAACATCTGTGATGTCAATCCACTGGCAGTCAATATCATGTCTGTACAAGTCCCAGCAGCCCACTGTGATGCCCTGCTCACCAAAGTTGGCACACTCGTAGTGTTTCAAAATACCTGCAACAAGGTAAGCAACAGCTCAGTGGAGACACAAGCCAGTATTCCTGCTCAAGAATACCTTGAACTAATCTAAGGTGTCGTTCACAAGGAATGTGTTTTTGCATTCCACTGCACTTCTTTTCCATTGTTTTTCTATTTAAAGCATTAGATGCTTTAAATAGAAAAACAATGGAAAAGAAGTCAAGAAAGGTGTCGTTCACAAGGAATGTGTTTTTGCATTCCACTGCACTTCTTTTCCATTGTTTTTCTATTTAAAGCATTAGATGGACATCTTTGGCCGTTACTCTCTCGCCATGCGTCCTTTTAAAAAGTGTTTTATCTTCCCACCCCTATCCGGAATGCTGAATCCCTGACAATTTTCAAGCGACAGCTGAAAACTCATCTCTTTCGAAGCTACTTGACTTCATCATAAAAAAATAAAAAATAAAAAAAAATTATTTATTCCTTCTCTTTCTAGCTTGTACTTATTTGAACAATGTCTAAGAACTTGGTATTACAACCACTTCTTGTGTCTGTTTGCCTCTCTTAAGAAGAATCGCTTTATGTATCCCCCAATTGTAAGTCGCTTTGGATAAAAGCGTCTGCTAAATGACTAAATGTAAATGTAAATGTAGATGGACATCTTTGGCCGTTACTCTCTCGCCATGCGTCCTTTTAAAAAGTGTTTAAAAAAAAAGGTTACAGCTCAGCTTTGAAGACCTTAAGCATTTTTTAAATAAGTCAGTGCAGTGGAATTAAAAACCTAATATTGAGACTTTTTAAATATAACATTTTTGAAAACGTGGCACTTTTGAGCACAATGAACAAAAAGGAAAATCTATGGAAGCCCATTTCCGCCACTAAATAAAAAAAACAAGTTAACTGTGACTTCTCACAATTCTTACATTTTTCTTGCAATTGCGAGTTTACATCTCACAATTCTGACTTTTTTTCTCAAAGTTGTCAAACTCTTAATTCTGATTTTTTTTTCTCAGAATGGCGTTATATAAACTTGCACTTGCAGGAAAAAAAATCTCAGAATTGCGATATTTAAACTCGCAACTGCGAGAAATAAATGGAAGCCCGTTTCCGCCACTGAATAAAAAATAAACGAGCAATTCAGATTTTTTTTCTCAGGATTGCAAGATTTAAACTCGCAATTCTGAGAAAAAAAGTCAACTGAGAGTTAATATCATGCAATCCTGAGAATTTTTTTCCAAATTGCAAGCTTTTTATTCAGTGGCGGAAACGGGCTTCCCTTTATTTCTCACAGTTGCACGTTTATATCTCGCAATTCTGACTTTATAACTTGCAATTGCGAGTTTATATCATGCAATTCTGAGAAAAAAGTCAGGATTGCAAGAAAAAAAGTCAGAATTGTGAGATAAAAAGTTGCAATTACATTTTTTATTTAGTGGCAGAAACAAGCTTCCATAAAAATTAACGCTGTAGAAAGCAAAAACATTCTGTTTGAACGGTCTAACTTAGTCAAAGCGGTTAGGATGAACTATACTGTTTTAGAAGATTTTTAGATCATTGAAGATCAACTAAACCAGCTTAGATCAGCTAAGACCTTTGCCAACCTATGGTTGGTTTAATGTATTTAATATGTATTTATTCAAATTCAAAGTACTGAATAACGTACCAGATGTATAAAGGTGACAGCAGGTTTACAGTAATGGTCACTGTAATGTGACATTATTATAACTGATCCATAAATACATTTCTATACTTAGAAGTTTAGGGACCCCTAGTGGATAAACAACTGCCCTGACATGATGTTACTCTAAAACAGTTAAAGGGGTCATATGATGCTTTTTTAAAGATCATTATTTTGTGTATTTGGTGTAACAGAATATGTTGAGATGCTTTAATGTTCAAAAAGCACATTATTTTTCAAATACTGTACATTATTGTAGGTCCTCTATGCCCCGCCTCTCTCAAACGCTTCGTTTTCTACAAAGTCCCTCCTGCAGTCTGCTCTGATTGGCCAGCTGACCCAGTGCATTGTGATTGGCCGAACACCGCAAGCACTCGTCGGAAATGTAACTCCCCTTACCATAATCGCGAGCTAAGTCTTTCAAAATAAATGTAAAGACAATATCTCTTTGGCTTTGAGACTTTAGTCTTTGCAACTTCAGGGATCTTATCTATGCACAATCAGCTTGTAACACTCCAAAGAGAAAGGAAAACTTGAAATCGCATCATATGACCCCTTTAAAGGGCACATATCATTGATAGCACATGACAGAAATATTTTTTTCTTTTATCTTTAGAATATAAAATTATATTATAGTTATAAATGAAAACTGGTTTCACAGACAGGGCTTAGATTAAGCCAGGATCAGGCCGTAGTTCAGTTAGGGCATTTAAGTAGTTTTTAATAAATGTACCTTAGAAAGGGTTGGTTGGTTAGGTTGGTTTTCATTATACAGACATGTCCAGCATATGACCTTTGACTTCTGTTTTACCTTCATGGCACTCTGTGTCCTCTAGGCAGAAGCTGGCTTTATGTCCATCTGCCACTTTGGTCCCATTTAGAGACAGCAGGTCATAATAGGTGAAGATATCCATACTATGGTAGTGCCTGGAGGTTATAAACACATTCTGCTGAAATCTAAGAGGGTTAAACCATCCAAAAAACCATAAGATATTGTTGAAATGTGACTGGCTGTACAGAATATAACTTTTAAATCAATATCAGCTTACCAATATGTATGTGTACAATAACTGACTTTAAGCTACTCTGAATCCTGGATACAGCAAACTACAAATCTGCCATTTTCATAGACAAAAAGATTTAAACAGCCTTGGAGAGCAGATTCAGTGCTGTAGGCCTGTAGGAGGGAACTGAAGCCATAGAGTAAACACTAGCTTCTCAGACACTGGCCTCTGTCCCAAACCCAACTGTGTGTGTCCTTTTAGCCTGAGCACATAACAGGTTTCCTCATCATCAATGTGTCAGGTAAATGCATTGGGGAACCTAATGTTCTGCTAGGAAGCTTGCAGTGTAAACACAGACCACCACAAAGAGTTAATGGAGACTATTCAGAGATGCACTTAATTCATTAATCAACACAAAAAGCATGGTGAGGAGAGTATGAAATTCACGATGTAAAAATAAATTGGAAAATAATTTACTACTAATTTACTAATTTAAGGGGATAGTTAATACAAAAATTATATTTCTGTCATTATTTACTCACCCTCATGTCGTTTTAAATCTCTATGCTTTTATTTTTTCTGTGGATCTCAAAAGTAGAAATTTTGAAGAAGTATATCTTGGGCAGTTCAAATCGAACACAAGAACCAATCAGTGAACATATTAAGTTGGTTCTTGAATTGGTTCATTTGGTTCACAAATCTGTTAAATTCACTTTAGCTTAAAATGTTTGAAAAGATTTACTTTTAAAATATCTAGTTTCTGTTCCACAGAATAACACGAGGGTGAGTAAATGATGACAGTTTTCATTTTTAGGTGTACTGACACAGTGCTGGTTTTGCCATGACAATAATTTAGGGTGTTAGTATGATCAATGTAAATCTAGCATTCTAATTATTGTTATAATAATTTATTTTCCATCAGTTTTTTTACTTGAACTGTTCTGTGGTTGGGCAACATCAACAAAACAAACAAAAGTAAATATAACCGCAAGCAGCAATTACAAGGTAATTTTGAAACCTGTTCCAAATGTTGGAAAGGCATATTGGAGGCAATAAATAATTATTAATCATCATATTCTACAGCTATATGGAGCAAGCAAGCATGATATCAGGCCACAAAGCATAATGTTTTTGAGTATGTTTTATAAAAGTTGGCCAGTAGGTGGCACATCCACCACTAGAGGAAAATAGAATGATATACAGTATGTGGATATTGTAACTTGTTTGTCACCAGGCGTTTTGTTCCCCAATGATTCTCAACAAGAGTACACGTTTTAATAATTTTTAAAATTCAGTTTTAAGGGCTGCCATAGAATTCAATGCACAAAGCAGAATAATTATTTTTACAGATGCAAGAAGGAATTGTAGCCGTGCAGACATAAAACTATTTATATTTAAGCACTTAGCCCATGCTTCGCCTCTGTGTAGTTAAAAGTTAGAACCATGACAAACAGAAACCACTGTTAGACTGATATAACCAGCCCTGGATCATGTCGGCACACATGTGTTCATTTAAAGCAGAGACAGCTAGCATGAACTTTCTTTCACCCTGTAGGTTGTCCAGGGTCTTGAAAGCTTCTGCTCTGGTTTGTAGAAAGAAATTTATATCAGTTTATGACCTTTGTAAATCAGATGTTCAGCCGACATGACCATGAGTGCTCAGTGTTAGTAAAGCCATATGGGTCCTTGGGGCTGCAGCTGGATCAGAACGGAGCAAAAAGAGATTCAGCAAGGCTGCCAGACGCTCAAAAGAAAAACACAGTTGATAGATCCCTGTTCAAAACAAGTTTCAAGTGCTCTCTGCGAACAACATTAGCATAAGTGAACATGAATCTATTTATGCATATTTCAGTCTGAGTTCAAGTCTTAATGCTGTCATGCTTAGGCCTGAAACATACTCTTTGCAAATACACAAATGCAGACATGAATGCTTGGCCAGTGCATTGAAACATATTTAAAGGGATAGTTGACCCAAAAATGAAAATTCTGTCATTAATTGCTCACCCTCGTGTCATTCCAAACCTGTAAGACCTTCGTTCATTTTTGGAACACAAATTAAGGGTGCTTTCACACCTGTAGATCGATTGCTTTGTTCAGAAACAGGGATTAAAATCATTACAATGTTGCTTTTTATACTTGGTGCGGTTTGCTTTCACACGGCAACGTTTCTAAACGGACCAAATTTGTTAATACAAGTAAACTTAGCGAGTAAACTGTTGTCTCATTGGTCAAAGTTCCACCGTTTAATTTTCCGGGATTCCACTTAGCCAGGTGTGAAAGCACCCTAAGATATTTTTGATGAGATCCGATAGCTTTCTGACCCTTCATAGACAGCAATGCAACTGACACGTTCAAGGCCCCGAAAGGTAGTAAGGACATCATTAAAATAGTCCATGTGACATCAGTGGTTCAACCCTAATTTCATGAAGATACGACAATACTTTTTGTGTTCAACTAAACAAAAATAACTTAATTCAACAATTTATTCTCTTCCATGTTCTCTACAGTACCACGACGCATGGTACTGTGCATTGGTCTTTTTGCAAACAAGCCACAGAACATCCGGGTTCTACGTCAGCAGCATCACATGCGTTGTGATACTCTCGTGAACACGCAGCGAAGACTGACACAGAAGAGAAGAATTGTTGAATAAAGTTTTCTTTGTGCACAAAAAGTGTTCTTATAACTTCATAAAATCATGGTTAAACCATTGATGTCACATGGACTATTTTAACAATGTCCTTACTACCTTTCTGGGCCTTGAACTTGGTAGTTACATTGCTGTCTATGGAGGGTCAGAAAGCTCTCAGATTTCATCAAAAACAATGAAGATGAACAAAGGCTTTATAGGTTTGGAACGACACGAGGGTGAGTAATCAGTGACCGAATTTTCAATTTCGGGCGAACTATCCCTTTAAGTACATACTTAAAGGGATAGTTCACCCAAAAATGAAAATTTGATGTTTATCTGCTTACCCCCAGGGCATCCAAGATGTAGATGACTTTGTTTCTTCAGTAGAACACAAACTGAGATTTTTAACTCCAGCCGTTGCAGTCTATCAGTCGTATAATGCATGGCAATGGTAACAAAATCTATGAGAGTAAAAAAAACATGCACAGACAAATCCAAATTAAACCCTGCGGCTCATGACGACACATTGATGCCCTAAGACACGAAACGATTGGTTTGTGCAAGAAACCGAACAGTATTTATATCATATTTTACCTCTAATACACCACTGTTTTTTTTACTCTCATAGATTTTGTTACCATTGCCATGCATTATACGACTGATAGACTGCAACGGCTGGAGTTAAAAAATCATCATTTGTGTTCTACTGAAGAAACAAAGTCACCTACATCTTGGATGCTCTGGGGGTAAGCAGATAAACATCAAATTTTCATTTTTGGGTGAACTATACCTTTAACATGCATTCTTGCATTACTGGGCAGTCACAAACCTCAGTACTGGAATGATTTTCAAATGTCTGAGGCATTAAATTGGAAGTCACCAGTTTAACTAAGTTTAATTAACTTGCTTATCTTTAAATTATTTGCCTGAAAGACCAAACTGACAATAGAAAAAGACAGTTTATGGATGATGGCCATTGTAGTTCCCCTTGTGGCAATGCGGAGAGAACATTGACAGTAGTCCATGCATTAGACACCATGAACTAACAATGATCTTTTTTTTTTTACATCATTAATTAGTCTAGGATCCAAGATTGATAAATGCTGTAAAAGTACTAGTCCACTTTCAGTCTCGTTGTGTTAATAGTCATCCATTTGCAAACTATTCTATCTCAGACTTTCAGAAATTTTTATTTTTTTGTAAATAAAGATTTAAAGAGATTATTAGTGGTAAAGTTGAAGTCATGTGCCTGTGGCATAATTCGTTTGTAGCTTAAATTTAGCTTTTACTTCTGGTGATTTAACCTCATGTTGTCATGTTTGCATACTTGTATAGTGTATGTTTTTGGGTGTTAAACACATGCACTACATGCAAGACTGGGCACATAAGACTGGGTCAAGTATATAAGATCTGAAAATCAGCCACAGCTCCAGCGTTTACCTATGGCATTCATGCCACACCCAGGAGTGGCGACCGAGCCGTGGCCGGAAATCAGCCTTGCCAATGTTGTGTATCTCAGAGGAGAAGCGCAGCAGGCGGCGGTGGCCGTACGGCCAGTTGGCTTGAGCAGCTGATTTGGCCAGGCAGTTCTCCTCTGCTGCGCAGTACAGCAAGTGCAGGGGTCGGTCCTCAATGTAAACCGTCTGCTCCACCAGTGGAGCGTTCAGCACAAGGTCCGAAGCCGCTAGGGTTTGTGGGAGAAACCAATATTACACTCAAATATGATGGAATAACATTAGCTATTGCTTTACCCCTTCTCTTGCTAACAAACTTTTGTTTACAGACTCGCATATGACTTACTGTCTGAGCAAATGACGCCAGCAGAGAACTGCGCTCCCGCTCTTTTGCAGCTGACGACAGAATGATGCTGACAGTCGGTCAGAGTCATATCATTTCCTTTACACTTCACTCCGCTCAGAACCATCTCCGTCACATTACTGCTGTCCCAGTACCAAGTTTCCTTTACACAGAGGAGAGCTCATCAGTAGATGAATGAATGTAGTAAATTACTGAACACGGATAAAGCAAGAAATCTAATACAAAGTATGTCAGCAGCAGACATTAATTAAATGTGAATCAAACAGAATAGCAAAAAAAAAAAGGCAAATGCTTCCATTGGTCAAACAAACAGATAGTCCTGCCCCAAATTTATACTATTGGTTGAGTGTTGCTGGTTGCTACATTCTAAGCCACAATGTTTACAATTAAGTATATTAAATAGATTGCTTATAGTTGTTTATCTTTGCACATAAAACTAGGATAGGAAAAAAAACTCATCGAAAATTTTTCAAATTTCATTAATTAAGTAAAGAAAATATATACTGTTTGACAGCTAATAAATAAATAATAAAAAATATATATTTTTATTAAAATTTTATTAAAATAAACAGGACACACCTTATCTGGACTATTTGAACTTCCACTGCTAATATGTCTGTTAATTCCACAAAAATGTAGCCTCTAGCTGATTTTTTATTTTTATTTTTAATAAATTTTTTAAATTTTTTACACCGTTCAGAAGTTTGGGGTTTGTAAGATCTTTTTTGTGTTTTTGAAAAAAAAGTCTCTCATGTTAAGCAAGGCTGTATTTAATTAATCAAAAATACAGTAAAAACTGTAATATTTTGAAATGCTATTACATTATAAATATATAATATTATAAATATTATTTTCTGTGTTAATATTTTTAAAATATAATTTATTCCTGTGATGCAAATCTGATATTTCAGCATCATTACTCCTGTCTTCAGTGTCACATGATCCTTCAGCAATCATTTCAATAAGCTGATTTGCTGCTCAAGATACATTTCGAATTATCAATGTAGAAAACAGTTGTGCTGCTTAATATTTTTGTGAAAACATAATATTTAAGGATTCTTCAATATAGCATTTATTTGAAATAAAAACCTTTTGTGACACTAAAATAGTTTTTACTGCCACCTTTGATCAATTTAATGCATTTTTCTAAATACAATTTTTTTTTCTTTTTACTTATTGGCCCCAAACATTTGAATGGTAGTGTACACTTCACATATTAATAATAATTCACATTTTAGGCTAACATGGGATTTCACAACCAATCAATCTGCAGTGCTTGATTAGCCAGTCCCATAGCGCCTTTCTTACAGTGATAGCATGCAGGCAGTATCTGAGGCCTAACTGTCTGCACGCCACCATGGCTTCTCTTGTGGTCCAGTTGTCACTGCATACAGTTCCCCACCTGGACTTGACCTGAACCTCCATGCGCCCCTCGTGATCCGTCCTGCCCCCCACTATACGGATCTGCAGACAGATCCCCACTGCAAGGGCTTAGCATGCAAAGTAGGCTAAATACAGTGCTAACCAGGTATGAGCCAGCTATGCTAATGCTTCAATTACAAAGTTCTATACGATCTCATACTATCAAGTAGTCATTTTAGTGGATTATTGTGATCATTCGCAAAGGCTTGAGAGTATTGTATTTGTAAGTGAATGCATTGCAGGGATAAGAGGTGTTAGCATTATGCTATTTTGAAAAGTATTTTCATGACACGTCATTAATCTGCAAGTCGGCCATATTGGCGGCACTGAACATAAAAAATGCCACTGAATCGTGGCATTTGTGGTTGGCCAAACTGAACCAGGATTTCCAGGGCAAGAATCTTGACAACATTCGTGTTTGTTCTTATCATTTCATTTCAGGTAGGTGAAATATTAGGGTAATATCTTAACCATATTAACCTTTGTTTGTCAAAATATTTCACCCTTTCCTGCTTACTGCTTTCTTGCTTAAGTCCTTCTCTATATGATTTAGCATCTTCCACAAGTTTTTTTCCCTGGATTAGACATCATAAATTAGTAGGGCTGGGTAAAAAATATCGATATCTCGATATTAATTGATTCTCTTTTTTACGGAACGATATCGATTCTTAAATCCCAAGAATCGATTAGTCTACCCTAGTTAATGGACGGAACATTGAAGGACACTTCCCATCCAATAAATCGCAATAAGCATTGCGCTTTGGTGCTTTTAATATGAAACAAAGTCCCAGATTTCAATTTATGTCCATTGATTTCAAACAATAAATGTCGTTTTGGCACTGTTTAATGTGGAGTGACAGATCGCTGTAGCGCCTCATTTCAACAGACGTCGCACGTGAACTAGGGATGTGCACATGGATGCTGCAGTATCGATATATCGATACTCAGAGGCTACTATTGTGGTATCGATATTTTCTGCAAAGTATCGATACTTAATTATATGAATAATTTCTGCATAACTACATGATTTTAGCAGTGTGTGCAGGCCGATCGGGGACGGTATGTGACTGATATAAAAAAAGAAATAGAAAAGCTCTCGCGGACGCGGTGGTAAGACGTTACACACCGATCGGTCTGCGGCTGTGCAGTGCGACGTGCCATTCACAATCTCAACACGCACGGTCGCATGCAAATTGGCACGATGGCAGAAAGCAGGAAACGTAGCGTGGTGTGGTGCTACCTCGCAACAGCGGGAAAAAATATTGCACGATGCAATATTTGTGATAAGAGAGTCACACACAGCAACAATACAAGCAACCTTTTTAAACATTTACAAACAACACACCCTGAAACGTATAAGAGGCTGAACAAAAACAAGCTGCCCAGTCTTCCTCTGTCCGACAAAAGACGTTACAGGAGAGTTTTCAGGGAGGCAAACCCTATCCAGGTACAAAGAGCACAGTCATTAGTTAACTTATTTACTGTACTCCCTGTCTCTTTCGTAACCATTAGGCAAATAAGAATAAATATAAAGTGTGTGTGTTTGTGGGTGCGTTTGTGTGGGGTGTCCTGGTATTCCTTACCTTATAGGGACAAAACGTTACCACAAGTATAGTAATAATACCAATAAACTTTGACATCCTGAGATCCTGAGGACATTTTAGGTCTCCATGAGGGAAAGTTGAAGATGAAGAAAAAATGGTCTGTTCAAAATTAAGAAATAAGTAAAAGTATGCACAGTTTATGTTTGTGGTATTTTAGTTTATTTTATTAAGATTTGTTATGTAATTTAATCTATATATTTTTGTAAAATATGGAGATAGTACAATAGAATGTTGAAGAATAAGAAAAAACTGCCTTTATTTTTGTTTATTTTATTAAGATTTATGTTATTTAATCAATATTTTTGTAAGAAGGTTGTTTAAACATTTTTATTTGTGGTTAAATTTGAATTAACATTATTTAGAAAAATCACATACACATTTAAAATGATAAGCGGTATCGGTATCGTTAAAATTATAACAAAAAGTATCGGTATCGTATCGCATGAAAAAAATGTGGTATAGCCCATCCCTAACGTGAACTCATCTCCACATTAATACCAGCTTCAGCACAAAATAAACATGACTAAACGTCCAAAGGTATGTTAAAAGAAAGAGTACAACTTTACAATCTGTAGCCTGTCTCATGTAATCGCTCAATCAGTGTTTCAGCCGCGCAAAGACGTCAATATAAAGTCTTGTAAACAATGTTACGTAACGTCACATTTACCTCAGAAACAAACATATTTGGTGACCATAAACTAGGTATGTATCCAAAATAATCGATATTGAATCGAATCGGTAATCGAATCTAATCGAAAGCTTGTGAATGAGAATCGAATCATGAAATTTGTGTCAAAACCCAGCCCTATAAATTAGTAGAACGTCTTCAGTAGTACATCAACTGTGCAATCCATGCTGTTGTTTACATCCAAGTATCTCCAATATGGCTACGTATCCGGGTAACTGACCAAACCGTGATGTAGGTGCAAATGCTCTATTGTAATGGTAGTTAATCAGTTGAAAACTTCCTGTCAGTGTGAACGCCTACACTGCAAAAAAATAATAATAATAATCTTGTTGTTCAGTGCAAATATCTAAACATTCCTAAATCAGGATATTAATCTGAGAAGCAAAATTACTAATATTAAGTCTTGTTTTCTGAAACGATTATCAAAATTAAAGGGGTCATATGATGCGATTTCAAGTTTTCCTTTCTCTTTGGAGTGTTACAAGCTGATTGTGCATAGATAAGAGCCCTGAAGTTGCAAAGACTAAAGTCTCAAAACCAAAGAGATATTCTTTATCAAAGTTAAGACTCTGCCACGCCCCCCTAAAATGGCTGGTTCTAACACGCCCCCCACATATCTAGGTCACTATGTGGGAATATTTGCATAATGCCGCCCAAATGAAAGAAGGTGTGGTTTCAGTAACCGCAGTTAGCATTGAAGCAGCATGCCAGGGAGAAGCTGTGTGTTTCTAGGCGAAAGCAAAAGCACTTTTTTTTTGCCTTCCGAAAGTAGATGCATTTAGAAATCTTTAAGATTACTTACAACAGAACAGCAATGCATTTTATGGACGACCGTTTCGTGAACCTAGGAGAGGAGGTAATTC